CAACCCTCCCAGTTGCGATGAAAAGGCAAATTGGAGTGTGAAGATTAATCTCCCTCACAAGAACTTGAAAGAACTCAAGGAGAAGAAGCTTCGAAGGCACAAGGCAATCAACACTTGCAAAAATGAACTCTCGTTGTATTATTAATCAAAGAAATCTTGAATTACAAAGTTTAATGAAGCCTCCTTTATATAGGGGCTGAGTTCTAAAGGTCCTAAATAACTAATGAATAAAATAATAATAAACTAAACATATCTTAACTCTAATTCCTAATAAAATAATAATAACTAAAGATAATATTTTTAACCCAACCTTAATTCCTAATAAAATAATAAATCTAATCCTAAAAGATAATGGATCATCCTATATTAAGTTATATTACAAATAATCAATAAAAATATTGAAAATTCGTAATATTTACAATATCCCGTATAGGATTTTCTGCATGCACCGTCTTCAGTAAAATAGTCATATCTTGAGTTCCCGATATCGGATTGATGCGATTCAAGAACCGTTGGAAAGATAAGAGACAGACGGTCGTATCTCCAGAAGACATCTTGACTAAATAAGATCAGGATCCCATTCAAAAAGTCATCGTAAATCTGCTTCTGTTCTGATCTTCTTTTCCTATGCTTGGACGAGTGGATCATTTGGAAGAGTTATTACTTCTTCCTTTGATGTGAGTCTTGTGATGCATGTATCATCCTCCCTTTCTTAAAAAAGATTTGACCTCGAATCTAAAACATTAAAGGGAGCAACATTAGAATCGTTTAATGATTCTTTCATATTATACTTACCGAATAGATATGCTTTGAATCTTCGAGACTTTGTTCTTCTAATAGGTTCGAGTAGAAACATTAGTCCAAAGAAGCATGTATTATGGACTCTGGTGCATGTATCAATTAAGGTCCAACCCAAGTCGGCTAAGTCGCGATTGAAGTAAGATATGAGGTATGAATACCGAATTTAGCGTGAGATGCATGATAGTAATCTTCAGTGGTAGATGTTGAAGAGGATGAAGACGCCGATGATTTCTTTTTGGACTTTGACCTGGACCTGGCCTGATGTTGTTCCCATTTTCAACTCTTTTCTACTGTCATGAGATATGGTTTTCCATTTGCTTCATAATTTATGAGATAGAGAGAATGGTCGAAATCAAGGTACAACGACGTAATCTCGTAATACGAGGGAGCGATAGGTGACGTTGATTCCAATGCTCAATGTAGAAAGCGTACCGCGTTGACCAATCTTCCAAATGTTTCCCACACATATCGATTCTATGGTGTGCATCCATTTCAACTATATACATATGAATTGATTGATGCAATGCAAACTGTCGTAACACTCTATTAGCGACGTGCCACTACATAATAGCAAAATGTAGTAACAACGTCATAACACACCATAACTCAAACCCTAAAAAAATCCAACGACGATAACCTGTGGATCTCGTCATCAATATACGGAAGCAATAAAAACTGTAAATATTAAATATCAAAGTTAATATATATAAAGTTAATTTTTTTTTAAAATAATAAAAGAATTTGTATATCGCATATCGACCGGCGATGTCGATCTTCATCCGTACATCTTTTGTTGTGGCACCTGACAACTTCATCTCGGTTATTTTATGGCGTCATCTAAAATATTTAAAAATAAAAAAATTAAAACTAGAGTAAAAATATTAATTAATTTTATCAAATTTAAAATATAATGTTATAAATTTACCTTCCGGCAAGAGAAAACTCGACAGAGGCTATTGTAATCAGCGTAAAAAATGAGAACCGGTACCACACTCACGATTGTAGCAGTATAAAACAACATGCTACGTAGACTTTTCAACCATGCTCGACAATAGATGCCTTACAAATCTCCCGGTATAGAAATGCTAAAATCGTAGAGCCCCAACTGGTTCTGCGACACTTACCGAAGTCACCTAATATTTGTAAATATTATGTTTGTGCCAAATTATCGGATTTACCCGAAAATAATATCCCTCCTATCAGCTGGAGAAGATATGCCCGCAATATAAAAATAACATCACTTTTTTATAGAGTCCCTCGTTATTTCGAATTCGGACTCTAACCACATCATTCTTACCTGATAGCCCTCCATGAAATTGGATGGCGACCACTTTCCTAAAACTTGATACACCAATGCTGAGAAGTCGTACATGTTCTGCTTCACCACCAAGTCTCCATTGATAGGAACACCGAGTTGGTAAGCAAAGTCTTTCAAGGTAATCATTGCTTCACCATTCGAGAAATGGAAAATATCTGTCTCGGGCCGTCAACATTCAATTAGAGCCTCGATCAACGTCGGATACACCTTGTAGCCACATAAAAATATGTTTGGATAAAGATCGAATTGTTGAAGATATATCGACATCCGTTTATGCGGATCTTTCGAAGTCATGCCGCGCTGACAAACACTATCTTCTCCTTCTGGTAAGACTTTAATCGAAGAAACATGGACGTTGTCGAGGCACAACATCTCTGCTCGGGAAGCTTTTTTTTTTTTTTGGATTTTGCATAGAAAATCAATTTTCCTCAATTGTTTTCAAATTTAAGGTTTGATGAGAAATCAAAACCTCAAACCCCTATTTATACTCAAATTCTAACGACTAGGGATTTTTTAGTCGAGGTGATGAGTCCCTTTTTTGTTTTTCTAAATTAATTTTTTAATTTAAAATTTTTTTAATGGACTCGTCATGTTGAGGTGTCGAGTCTTAATAAAACCAATAATTTAATGGCCTAAGTGGGACCCACCCATCTGGGCCCATTAAATAATTATTTTTCATGAAACACGCCAACTCGAGGTGACGATATCACCCGACACTATAGTAAATGACGTAGATCCCAAATTAAATTTTGAGTTGCCTTTTTGGGCCAAATAATTAAACCGAAAGTCCTATTGAGCCGATTTTTCCCAATAGTGGGGCGAGGGTGAAAACCCCGTTTCGTCATTAAAATGAAGGCTTAAACATCAAAAATGTGCCTAAAGTATGCATATTTTTCCAATTTAGTGTCTAACATTTTTTCGGTCCAATTTGGGACAAACGTTTTATTCCGTAACTCATTTTGGGTATACATGTGACATACCATTAATTTCGGTCGTTAAATGCCACGTGACATATTTTTTAGGGTAAAATATACAAATAATCCCAAACTTCTAATAGTCTTTCATTTTGGTCACACTGTTCTTCTTCCCCAAATATTTTTGACAGGTCATCGAAGAATTCAATAGAAATGTCGTGTCTTCATCTTCCTCAACTCAAATCCCAAATCATTATTTACATTTATACTCCATTTCTTTAAAATATGATTTGGTGGAACCAAGTGAATTTTATAACATAGATCCCTTCTTCTTCAACCCAAATCTTTTGACAGGACATCAAAGAATTCAATAGAAATGCTATGTTTTCTTCTTCTTCTTCTTCTTTGCACTTGAATTTGTTCTTGTTTTGGAATCATCAAACATCTCAGAATTCAATGGAGTACTTATTAACTTGTTCAAACCATCCTCTCCTGGTTCAGAATCACAAGCATCGAACACACCATCTTTGTAAAAACTAGATTTTTTTGACCCTAAACCAGTTAATTCCAATCCTTCCATTAAATCCTGCCCTGGTTCAACCTCATTGTACCCCAATTTCATCACTTCACCAGGAATTCCTCCATCGATCTCTGTTTCGCAATATTCAAACCGAGATTCATCATTCGTAGAACTAGAGGCGTATGAATCAAAGTTATCTCCGTAACCAAAATGGCTCTACAAAATTTCTTTATTGTCACAAGACTCCCAAAAACAATTGAATTCGGACAGATTCTTGACACCCTTACACAACATCATCAAACACAAAGCAACTTCTTCAACCTCTTGATCAATTTCGAGTAAACCAGAAGATTCATTTCGACCATTGTTATTGTACCTAAATCTTTGCGATCTCTTTCTCCTCACCGTTAAGCCATTCAAAGGATGCAATCTCATATGAACAGTGAGAGCCTTCAAAGACTTAAACTTTTTGCCACATTATTGACAATTAACATGTTTCATTTCTTTTGCAGAATGATGCCTCATATGACCGAATAGAGCTTTCATTGACTCGAATTGCTTGGTGCAAGCTTTGCACTAGAACTTAAGGGTCGAGCTAATAGTTGCATTATCGTCAACCTTAGAGCCCAAAGATTTCTAAGATTTCTTAGGGTTATCCCTCAAGCCATAACCTTGAAAACCCACTCTCATTAGCCTTTCTTTTACCATACTTATTTTCTATTGAAACGAAACTCAACTCAAAGAGAGGAACCCAGATAAAAAAAAAGCTTCTTTTAGGGAAAAGGGATGAGAAATCCTAGAGCTCACATCAACTAAAGAAGAAAAAGAACGGGGTGACCAAAATGCAAGACTATTAGAAGTTTTAGGATTATTTGTATATTTTACCCTAAAAAATATGCCACGTGGCATTTAACGGTCGAAATTAACGGCCCATCACGGGAAGGCACCAAGCTGAGTTACAGAATGAAACGTTTGTCCCAAATTGGACCGAAAAAAACGTTAGGAACCAAACTGAGAAAGAGGCATACATTGGGCTCCTTTTTGACGTTTAAGCCTAAACTGAAAACACAATCAATTAAGTATTAAAAACAAGGGTAAACTATGTATTTAATATTTAAACTATCAATATTTGTTCATTTTAGTATATAAACTTCTAATTTTTTCAAAATCATACCTAACATTTAGTTTTTGTTTCATTTTAGTAACTAGTCATTAAAATCTTAACGCATTTAATACTTATAAATCATTTTTTGTCCTTTTCAGTACCTAAACTTTTAATTTTTTTCAAAATATAACATTAAATTTTGAATGTGTGTACTAAAATTAAATAAAAACAAAACTTTAGATATAATTTTAAAAAAGTTAAAAGTTTAGATACTAAAACGTATAAAACTGATGGTTTAAATACTAAATGCGTAATTTACCCTAAGAAAAACAACAGTCTCCTTTTAAGCAAAACACTGTTCTTTATTTCCAGTTCCCACAATTCTCAATTATTATAATTAATCATCTCTCTCTGACTTTCAATCCCAAAAGCCATTTGATTTCCTCTTTAAAATCCTTTTCTCTCTCTATTTTCCTCAGTCTCTCCGTTAGACCCGACCCATCTGTCCATCTTGTTTATCCACCCATCTTCCATCTTCTTTTTGAACCAAATCTGTTTGTGTAGTCCTCTCTTTTTAGGGTTTTGATTCAATCATTATTGTTTAATTCGAAACAAAATGACGACCACGAGAAAAAACATGTTACCTCATGGTCTGGTTAACAATCTCCAGGAAGTTCTTCTCAGCAGAAAAGGAGGGAACTCCGACCACGACAAAAACGACGAGCGACAGAAAAAATCTGAGGTTATTGCTGATTCTGCCGAGACATCTACTTCCGCTAGTGATGAAAACGACAGCTCGAAGCCTGTCGTTTTGGTTACCAATGGGGAAGGGATCGATTCCCTTGGCCTTGTTTATCTCGTTCAAGCTTTGGTCGGCTCGGGCTTCTACAATGTCCATGTTTGCGCCCCTCAATTGTGGGTTTTATTTCTTTCATCTGAAAATTCGCAAATTTTACTGATTTCTGGTTTATTTTGGCTTAATTTTTGCATTTTCTGATCTGGGTCCTCACTAAATTTTGATTTTTTTGCTTTATTACTGGAATAGGCAACTATGCAAACTTTATTTCTTTCGTATTAACTCTTTTGTTTTGTGTGCCTCTTCATGTATATTTGGAAATGTCGGTTATATCAAGCTTTACTTGTTCTGTTTTTTTTTTTTTTTTTAAATTTAGTGATCTGGATGTGTAGTCCGAATATATTTAATTTTACCTTTTTTGGGCTATTTAATTTAGTAATTTGCTGTGATTTATTAGTTTTTGAATGGATTGCTTTAGGGATAAATCTGTTTCGGGTCATTCGGTGACAGTCCGAGAAACGATTACTGTTGCTCCATCAGAAATTGAAGGTGCCACTGCTTATGAAGTTTCAGGTGTGATTGGATTTTGTATTTGTGCTAATTTAATTGCCAACCAAATTTTAAGTATCTCAGTTTGCTTTGAATTATGATGTGAAATTGAAACCATATAATTATAGTGATTCAAAATGCAAATATAGTGCGTCAGAACCATTGTTTATATGATGAAATTTGGCTTCAAGGATGAACATAGGACCTTAATTTGTTACCTTTTTTCTCAAATATGTTTTCAATCTTGTGTTTGTGTAGATTTAATGTTAGTTTGAGTTAATTTTGATAATAGTCGGCTTTAATGATGGTTCTTTCCTTCCAGGAACTACTGTAGATTGTGTATCCTTAGCATTGTCTGGGGCGTTGTTCTCATCATCAAAGCCTCTTCTGGTAAGGCTTTCATCTTTTTGTCAATGATTTGAAGTGTTGATTTTGTTTAAAACATCGATTGACTACTAAATTTTCTGTAATATATCCAGGTAATTAGTGGAATTAACCGAGGATCGAGCTGTGGTCATCACATGTAATTCTTTTTTACACGCTTGCACAATATTACTATTTGCTTTGATTTTATCAGGTGGTGCTACTACCCTCTTGATTGATTATTAGAAAATGATGCATTCAAGTTTATCTTTGAATTTTCATCTCCTGATGTCAAATTTATGCATGTCTTATTGTAATTTTATCTTGTTAGTTTGCTATTAATCCTTTTTGGTTCATGTTTGGATGCTAAGTGTACTTATAACATACCAGGTTTTACTCAAGTGTCGTGGCTGGAGCTAGAGAAGCATTAATTTGTGGTGTACCATCTTTGTCGATATCATTGAATTGGTGACTTACAATCTTTGGTTATGGGGATCTGGTTTCTACTATTTTATTTCTCACTTCATAATTGAATGTTCTTTCAACTGCTGGACACTATTGCAGGAAGAGGGAAGAAAGCCAAGAAAGTGATTTTAAGGATGCAGTTTCTGTTTGTTTACCTTTAATAACTGCTGCCATTAGAGACATTGAAAAGGCCGATTTCCCCAAAAGTTGCTTTCTAAATATAGAAATTCCTACGTCGCCTTCAACGAGCAAGGTTTGTATTCCTCAGTTTAGGGCCATAAATAAATGTGATTTTCACAACGATGATATGTATATGGATGCCTATCATGTTTAAAATGGGATATAATACAGATTTTGTTCTATAAGTTATAGTAACACTCTAAGTTGAATGTGGATATCATTGCTTCCTTGACATGTCCTTATAAAATCTTGTTTATATTAAACTTTTGAGGCTAATTGCATTGTGCTAGATCGAAGGCGGGTGTTGAGAGAGTTCCTGTTTCTTGACTGACTGCTGTCCTTCTAAGGTTAGGAGAGATGAGACTTTTAGGGTTAGTATCATAGAAAACAATCCTTTTTTAGAGCTAATGAAGAGCATATTCTGTTATTCCTTAGAAGAATAGATATGTTTCATCTATTCGTATTCATTTGTGTTTATATTTCATATTGGGTTCAAATTTATTGGGGGAAATCTTGGAACTGTTTATATAATGTTCAGTTTGGAAGCTCTCTATCCCTTTAATTTCTTAGATTTTGAGACTCAAGTAACAGAGTGGTTTACTTCCTAAATTATAATGGAGCAGTGAAATAACCGGATTAATTATAAATTTAATCCGATTACTTCATATAATAATTTTTTAAAAATATATGAATTTATAATTAAGATTTTAATATTCAAACATTAAATCGCGTCTTGTTTATTTGGAAGAAGGATTTATAGCATAGGATGTTTCCCCTCCCTCTTAGCTTTTAGACAGTTTAACATTACTTGTACACGAATTTTGCTGGTAGGAACTTGTGCTTAGTTGACTTCACAATACATTCCAGATGGATGGTACTTCACACACGATCAATATTCTGTTTTGCCGTTATTTATGAACTTACAATAATTATATTGCTAATATTTACCCGCTTGTGTTCTAGTGGGATAACTCTATCTGATGACTGCATCAATCAATTCGTTCATCTTTTTCTTTTTCTTAACTTAGTTTTTGCTAATATTTCCTCTAAAAAAAAATTAACTTAGTTTTTGTTCTACGGGCTGATCTAGTTAGGACCTCTTAGTTTGATGCAAACAACTCTTTTTCTTTTTGGAGTTTTGTATTCAGTCTGTTCACATAAGCTGCATGCTCCCTTTCCCTCTTTCACCTTTATGTATCAATATTGTTTTCATCTTTTTGGTGATGTTTGCTGTGCATTAGATGAGGGTCAATATGCCTATCCTCCCGGAGCTTGAGTTTTGGATTTATTGGTATTAGAAAACAATATGTATCACTATATTTGTTTCTCTTTGGTTTGTGATTTTTCTGGTCTCATCCTTCATACCTTCTTTGCCGATTCGTTCACATGTGACAGGGTTTTAAATTGACCAAGCAAAGCATGTGGAGATCTGCACCGAACTGGCTTGCTGTTTCAGCTAACCGGCATCCTGCTTCTGCTGCACATTTCATGTCTAATCAACAAAGCCTAGGACTCCAACTTGCACAGCTTAGCCGCGATGCATCTGCTGCTGTTAGTCTACTCCTCCCTTATTTTAGAGTATATTTTTTACTGTTCACTCACAATAATGAATGCATATATATCTTCTTTAGGGTGCTGCTCGACGAATTACCACACAACGGCAAAATGTGGAGTTAGAATCGGTTGGGGCTGTTAAATCTGGTAATAAAGTGAAAAAGTACTTTCGACTGGAGGTATGTAAAATTCCAACTAAGAAATCTTGAAGTTCTTATCTTCCATACAACTGAATTTATTGCTCTCATAAGCCATAACTGCCAAGCCGAGGATGAGAAATCCTTTAATATCTGATTTCAGTTATATAATTGAACATTTCCGTTAATCATGGTTTGCTTTTTTAGGATTCTCTTAAAAGGAAAAAGTCGTTTATCTCAAACTAGTTTGCATATAAATATCTTAAAGGCTATGCTGTTTATACTACTTTTGCTTGTTCTTTTGTTAATCTTTTTTCCTTATCCGTGAAGGCTTATTTCAATGCTGCTTCATTTTTTTTAAGATACCAGTGTCCCAACACTTGTATAATTTGACCTATATACGGACATGGGTATCAGGATATGAGCCTTGAAATATATTGAATAACTTACAAAAAATTAAACATACCTATTTCAGACACATGCCCGTATTAGCTAGTCATACATAACTTAGCATGAGTAACATAGCTTTTCTTTGTTACAAATTAACCATAGTTGATATGATTATATATGTACTTTACAGTTTATAAATAAAGAACATGAAGATGCGGACGAGGATTTGGATTTCAAGGCCCTTGACAACGGATTCGTAAGTAAAAACCCTATTGTTTTCCTGAAAGTTGAAGGATCGATTTGCATTTATCGACCTATAAAATACAAAATGATTCCTACATGTTCATGAGTGATTGATTCAATCCTTTCATTTTCCTTTCTTTGCTTGAAATCATAAAATTACAGGTCACCGTAACCCCTATACTGCTTTGTCCACAAATTGAGTCGGACATTCAAACCGCCGCATCAGATTGGATCTCCAGTGTGCTTAAGGAGGAGCAATAGAAATCTTTTAATCACTCAAAATTTGTATACAACTGCGGGAGGCATTACATTAAGTCATCAATTGAATCTGTGTTTGATTTTGTATTTTTTTCAAGGGGTTTCCAAATCTCTTGTCTGTCTTGTGTTGTGTTCTTGTTATAACTGTTTGTTAATACAAGGAGATAGCTTGGTCTAAATTATACGACCTTCTACTTTCCACAAATTGTTTTGTTCTTTTTCCATGTAATTTTGTCTTTTATTACATAGGTGGTGTTGAACTCTTCAAAACATAAATGTTTTTTTTTTCAAGGGGTTTCCAAATCTCATGTCTGTCTTGTGTTGTGTTCTTGTTATAGCTGTTTGTTAATACAAGGAGATAGCTCGGTCTAAATCATACGACCTACTTTCCACAAATTGTTGTGTTCTTTTTCCATGTAATTTTGTCTTTTATTTCTTAGGTGGTGTTGAACTCTTCAAAATCATGTTATTTTCCCATAACTACAAGAATATTGTTGTTTCTTCACATAAATGTTGTTCAAACCCTTTATTTGTTTAATGTACTTGTGGTAAGCATCTAGGTTTTCTTCACATAGATGTGTTTGTTTAAATTTTTAGTATTTCTTTGTTTTTCCTTTTTTTAAAAGTGTTTATGTTTGATTTGTTTAGAGTTTAATGAAGATGTTTGTTTATATAATTTTCAACATGGTCGTTAATATGTTCATTCTTTTTGGTACAAAGGTTGAAGCGATCACGTTTATTGAACTACCATCTTAGAAAGGAAATTTGCAATACCCTAAACCGATTCGACACAATTAACCTATTAGGATGTTACACGGGATCACCGGAGCGGCAACCCAAAAATTTCCTTTGAAAACATCTGTGAAATAATGTTCGAACATTTTCAAGTCATAAAACCATACAACAAATTTATAGTGTGGTATTAGGGAGCTCTCAAAATAAATATATAAATCAGTACATACGAGTATTCAAAATAAGTTACGACTTAAGTACAAGAAGGTCTATGAATAATACATGCCGCATAAACAAAGACTCAAGACGTACTGTAAAAGCTCGGCTGTCTGGAATGTTTGCAACACGATCGACTCCTCGAGTGCTCCATCTAAGGACCTGTGAACGGAAACACAATTCCAAATGCTAGTTAACTAGCCCAGTGCAACACTAACAACAAAGTTATACTAAGAGGGTTCATAAATGCTCATGCTATCGTAAAAGCAACTAAAGTGAGTGCATTATCATGCTATACTTGGGTAGACATCATTGTACGGTTAAGGGATCATTGCATCTCGGAGCTTGTGTACCCCTCTAGTCTAGGGGGGATGTTAACCCGAGATTTCTACATCAGATTCAACACCAAACTAACCCACCCTTTGCTAGTATTGAGGCCTTGTGCCATGGTTAGTCTCAAGGGCCTTGTGTCCTACCTAACGGTATCCATATAATTTTAAACTTCGTAACTATCATTACCAGGTAGAGTAACTCGGGTGTCCGTGGCGTCTCTCGAGCGTCAACCAAGGCCAATATTAGTTGGTCCTATTTGAGAGTGTTGCTAGGTGTACTTGATCATAATTAATATTCTCACTTGTAGTATTGTTCATAATTATTACAGAGTCCTGAGGTCCCTTAACTATCCCTTCAAAAACATTTAGACATTTTGTACTAAAATGTCTATGAGTACCGATACTGATAGGCAAGTACTGATACTCTAGTCTTGGGTATCGATACTGTTTGGGAGTATCGATACCAATTTTTGCTTCAATGTTTTGGAAATTACCTTAGTACCGATACCCTTATTGGGAGTATGGATACTATACCTCTGGTATGAGTATCGATACCAAAATAGCCTACTGTAATCTGTTAAGGCTGCTCAGTATCGATACTACCCTGTGAGTATCGATACCAAGCCATCGATATCAATACCCTACGAAGGGGTATCAATACTTCTCCTCCCAAAAACCTCTTTGTTGTTCCAATACCGATACTCATGCCCAAAAATACCTTATTTAGGCACGAATTTGGCCCTCTAAACTACTCTATAAGTCCTATTGAGGTACCCAAGTGATATTTAAGTCTTATGTGAGTTATAAGGTCATAAAGAAGGCTTGTAACATGCTAAACCAACAAAACATGGAATCTTTTGGTCTAAATGAGAGGCTACTCTAGCCTTAGAACCGGCTACTAATCTGGTTGTTCATCTATTGTGCTGTCTGGAAGCATAACTCCCTCCTCTAGTAGATCTTCGTCCCCTCGGGGCTGTTTGGATAGATCTCTTGGTCCTTTCTACGGCCTCACTCTAGGCCTCTGTGCAGTCTTGAATAAAGTGATTCATCGCACCACAACCAATACTTCCCCTGGTCCTGACATGACACGTCCCAATGTGCCTCTTCCCATAAGTCTAGCATGTCGGATATGGTGTCCTTACAGATCCACTGACACTCGCCACAGAAGTTGATGACAAAGGCCTCCGATAACCTCCTGATTTGCCCTACGGTCTGCACTTTGAGTTGATCTCCTAGTCTGACTAGCGGAGGTCCTCCATCATCCTTGAGAGTCTCTGGACCTCTTGGCTTGTGACTGACCGGGTCTAGAAGACTCAGCCACCCTCTTATTCTTCCCTGAGGTAGCAACAAGAGATTTGGCCCTTATCTCGATAACTCTCTCAAGCGTTTCGCCTAGCGACTCAGATCGAAAAAGATCTTGGGTGGGTCTGCAGCTAGGTGAGTGAAGATGTCTAAGTGGAGGACCTTCCTGGACCTTTTGCAGCAGTGATAATCTATCACAACTAGCTCCGGCGTATACCAACTTAACCGGAGGAACTCTTTCTCCTACTCCATCAGTGATCGATCCTCCTACTTTAGATGGAGGAACTTGTCTCTCAAGTCATCCGTGTAGGCCTCCCCAATATACTTCTCTCTAAACTCAGATAAAAAGAGCTCTCACGTCAACTTCTCGGGCTCCAAGTACATCTTGACGGTCTCTAACCAATCTATCGCATCACCTTTCAACTGGGCGGTGACGAAATAAAGGTTACCCTCGAGGGTAAGGTGTAGCTAACAGAGTGTCCTCAAGGTCTCCCCCAACCACTGGTCAGCTTCTATTGGATCATCATCACCAGACTCAAAGAAATCGTTCGTACGATATCTACGTAGTCGCTCGACTGGAGAATCCTGATTAGTCACTGGAGAGGCTGACTGTGTGGACGAAGGGGGTGGAACAGTATATGTCATAGGAATAACCCATACTATATGTCAGAGGGTCGTGGTCAGGTCCCTAAAAAAGGTCACCTAGTACACACTGACGTTCGCATGACTCCCAATCTCAGTATCAGGGACAAACTCATTCCCCGTATCGTCTGATACAGATGCCACACTCTCTACTCTACCCTTATAACTTGGGTATACAATATCATCCATGGATGTGTCCTGAAATTAAGGAAAAATCGATGAGTCATTATCACTATTCCAAACATAGGCGTACTCTTAACTTAAAAGGGCCATGTATACTTATAGACTATTACTGACTCAACCCATAGGTCCTATAACCGATAAAACATGGAAGTTCTGATACCACTAAATATAACACCATAAACCGATTCGACAAATATTTGACCGATTAGGACGTTACATGGGACTAACGGAGCAACAACCCAAAATTTTCCTTTGAAAACATCCATGAAATAATAACGTCCAACCATTTTTCAAGTCATAAAACCATACATCAAATTTATAGTTTGTAGTACTAGGGAACACCCAAAATAAATATATAAATCAATATAGACGAGTATTCAAATAAGTTACAACTTATGTACAATAAGATCTATGAATAATACATGCTCCCTAAATAAAGACTCAAGATGTACTATAAAAGCTCGACTGTTTGGAATGTCTACAACACGATCGACTTTTCGAGTGCTCCACATAAAGACTTGTGAACGAAAATACAATTCCGAACGCTGAGCTAACTAGCACAGTGCCACACTAACAACAAGGCATACTAAGAGTGTTCATAAATGCTCATGCTATCGTAAAAGCAACTGAAGTGAGTATGCATGCATGCTCATGCTATACTAGGGTAGATATCATGATACAACTGAGGGATTACCGTGTCTTGAAGCTCGCGTACCCTTCTAGTTTTCGGGGGATGTTAACTCAAGATTTCTATATCGGATTCAACACTCAACTAATCTACCCCTTGCGAGTGTTGAGGCCTTGTGCCATGGTTAGTCTCAAGGGCCTTGTGCCCTACCTAAGGGTATTCAGACAATTCTAAACTTCGTAACTATCATTATCAAGTAGAGTAACTCGGGTGTCCATGACGTTTCCCGAGCGTCAACCAAGGCCAATATTATTTGGTCTTATTTGAGAGTGTTGCTAGGTGTATTTGATCATAATTAATGTTCTCACTTGTAGTCTTGTTCATAATTATTACAGAGTCCTTGGGTCCCTCAACTATCCATTCAAAAACATTTATACATTTTGTCCAAAAATGTTTGTGAGTATCGATACTGCTAGGTAAGTACCAATACTCTATTCTTTGGTATTGATACCGATTTTTGCTTCGATTTTTTGGAAATGACCTTAGTACAAATACCCTTATGGGGAGTATTATTCTACCTCTGGTATTGATACTCTTTTGAGTATCGGTACCAAAATAGCCTACTGTAATCTATCAAGTCTACTCAGTATCGATACTACCTTGTGAGTATCGATACCAAGCCATCAATATGGATACCCTACGAAGGGGTATCGATACTTTTCATCCCAAAAACCTCTTCGTTCTATAGGGTGGATGAACAATATCGGTATTATTTTTTTAGTATCGATACCCAGGCCTAAAAATGCCTTATTTAGGCACAAATTTGGCCTTCTAAACTACTCTATAAGCCCTATTGAGGTCCCCAAGTGTTATTGAAGTCTTATATGTGTTATAAGAGTCATTAAGAAGACTTGTAACATGCTAAAAAATAAAAACGTGGAATCTACCATGAATGTTCATACAAGCTTCAAAACTCAACCTAGAAAATATAATGCATTTCTAATGACCACTAATGGTATATAAGAGTTGTAAATGTGTTACCTTGGTTTCCTAGCT